GCACTCCCTACCATGCCCACTCTCTCATTCGAAGTCTCAGCACACCTGAGGGGGCAGGGCCAGCATGGCACATTGGGGACTGAACCCCGGTCCCTGCATTGGCCTAAGCAGGTACTTTAATCTGCTGAGTTATGTGGCTAGCCCTAGTACATACTTTTTTAGTCATATTGTATGTAGGATTTTATTGAAAAATCCTGCTCATTAAAGGGCTATACCATTTATTTATCCATTCAGCAGCTGTGCATGTTTTTCTTTTTTCTTTTTTTTTTTGAGATGCTTTAGATTTATTTGATTCCCATAAGTTAAAAATCTGATTTCTTTTACATAAATTCTTCCAAATTCTCATCTATGCTGCCATCGTTTTGGGTTTTGCAAGGTGTGCATGTTTTTTATTGCAGTTTTTGCCATCAGTATGACTGCTATAAAAATTCTTGTAGATGTCTTGGTGTGGACAAGTTTCATTTTTCTTAAGTAAATTCTTATAAGGTTTTATGGTAAATTTATGTTTATCTTTAAAAAAGTGATAAACTGTTACAAGGTGCATGTACTATGGATAGGAAGATGGACTTTTTGTTCACATATTTTATTGTCAAGATGCTAAATCTCTGGCCCAAATTCTTTACTTTAAAAAAACAATTTAAAAATAAGATACATACCTCCTCATTTGGTAAAGATACATAAACCCGTTTGATGAACCGCCTACAAAAATTCAAGTAATTTTGTAAATATAATTTTGAATTTAAAGGAAACTCAATTTAAGAACAAATGAAAGTTTTAAGTATAATATTTGAGATAACTGAATGCATCTTACAAGTTATTAATATAAAAGTTTTTTTACTTTTTAAAAGTGCTCTACTTAATGTTTAAAAATCTTTCACTCAATAAATGATTAACCATTTATGTATGTGTATGTTCTTGAACTATACAAAAAAAATCAATGAAGGATTACAGAAACAAATACCAACTTAACCAAACTAAGCAATATTTATGAAACTAATATACATGAATTGCAGCCTATGGTGATGAAAATTACTCAGGTAAGGAACGTACACACAGGATCTACCACTGCAGATCATGGAAATGGCTGTGAGGAGTTTTCCAAGGAAGCAAAGACAGCATATCCTTCATGTAAGAAAACCATCTCCTCACATGTAAACAAGCTGCCTGGCTCTGCAAGCCTTCACAGCCCTAAGAGCACAAGCATGGCAAGGAAGGTGAGGCTGCACAGAAAAATTCAAAGATACATGATCTTTGTAAGAAGGATTTAAACAGTCTGGCTGGATAACAAACTGTTGTGTGGCAACCAATAGTTTTCAATTGAAAAAAAAAAAAAAAATCAACCCCATCTTCATTTACACACACATGGGCTTACCAGGCAGGATTCACACTGTGACTGCCCTTTAGTACAGGGTATTCATGGGATGATTCAAGATATCTGCATAATAGGTCTTATAGTTTTCTAGCTCTACCAACAAAATCCTCCCAAAACTACATTTTCCAAGTAGAACAAAGAAAATATCCAAAATAAAATAAAATGGAAAAAAAATCCAGAGCTCATTAAAAAAAAAAAAACCAAACAAACCCCAGAGAAACCACAATGAAGTAGATAAAGTGAATGAATGACGTGGCCAAGAACAGAAAGGCAAATTGTGATCAGATATCTTTCTATGAAATGAAAAAATTAATGTAAAAATGGCTTTTTATGAAATAATAATGATATAAGAGCTTAAGAAAATAACATACAAAAGCTTAGAAGATAATGAAAAATATGAGAGGTGTCAGGAAAGCAATGAAAAAGAAAAAGTACCACAGAAATAAAGGTTAAAAAGAAATTAGCAGGCTGGATGTGGTGGTGCACGCCTGTAATCCCAGCACTCTGCTGGGGAGATAGTTTAGAATAAGCACCTGCCTGGCAAGCACAGGGTCCTGAGTTCAATCTCCGTTACTCAAAAAAAAAAAAAAAAAAAAAAAAGATACAATCCCAACACTCTGGGGGCTGAGGCAGGAGGACTGTTGTAAGTTCAAGACCTGCCTGGGCTATAAAGTGAGCTCAAGGGCAGTTTGAACTACATGGGGAGACCTTGTTTCAAAGAGATAAAAAAGGAACTAGCAGAAAGATTAAACACTAACTTAGTAAGACATAAAGACAACACTGTTGATAGA